CACCCTGGAGGGGATACCAGACTATTCCAGGGTGCACACTCACACCAGGGACAATTTTCCCAGAAGCAAATTAACCTATCTGTATGTCTTTGGGCTGTTGGAAGACACTGGTAATGCCTGGAACATGGGGAAAATTTACAAACCCCATGCTGATAGCATCCCAGGTCCATAATTGAACCCAGGGCCACAGCACTGTGAGGCAGCAATGCGAACCACTGTTCCATTCCATTGTAATCCTAACACTGTTTCCTGATGGAAAAATGACAGTTCGAAGTTGGGGAATTACTGTGTTCATAAGCATGATGAAAGTCGCTGCTCCACAGGAAGAGTGGCAGAACATTCTACAACAGCCTACCTAGAGCTGAACAGGTCCATGTGTCAAGGCATCCAGGATTGTGTTAATGCTCAGACAGGTCACACCCAATACTAACTTAATAATATGCTCATTTTAAGCCCGATGAAGTGTGTTCTTTTGTTTTCATTTTGTATGTGTTACTTTTAAACAGCGATTGTGTTATCATACAGATCAACAGACAGCACCACACAGATCATTTCGATGCAGATCACAGATTATAGTCCTTATGCTGACGTGTGGGTTGTTTTATTTCCCTGGAATTCCTCTACAGTCTGACAATGATAACACAGATGGATCTGTGTTAGCGTGTTCGGCGTTTCCGGAACATAGCCTGTGCCTCCCAGAGTCAGCTTCCTGGTTTCTTTTAACTAATTTCTGTTAATATCTCAACCAGGTGATCTTCATTACTCAATAAAAGCGAGATAATATTCTATGCTTTAGTTAATGTTATGTCTTTGTGAATGGCTGTTTTAACAGATTCTTAATTGTCTCATTCTGGTACGTTTAACTCATCTCAGATACCAAACACTTGATACCTGACATTTTTATTAAATCACATTCTTGAGTTCAGTGTGATATTCCCTGGGATGATACAAGTCCTCTTTACAAGCATTATCTGTTTATTTATTAGTTAAGTAATACATACTGTATGAAATACACAGAGGAAAAAAGGAGATGGGCAATGAATGATGTGACTGCTTTCTGTTTAGGAAAACAACATCATGGTTCAGATATGTTAATTTGATCATGCGGATCTTCACATAGATGTGGAAGTCTGGCCTTTTTGGGGATTAGGGCTGATTCATGTCCTATCACACTTAACAATTCCCAATGACAGATCTGTAGCATTTCAGCAGTTAGTATAAGTGTCCTGAAAAACAATGCTCAGTCTTGTGATGTTGAAAGAAGTTTGTAAAACACAGGCACATTTTGTACAGCAATGGTGGAAGAGTCTGGAATGAACATTTGATTTGAATCAATATTCACAAGATTTTGTTCAACACAAATATAAAAACCCTTGTCTCCTCATTCAATACGTCCTTGACCAGTCCCTCAATGTTGCTTACATCTAGACACCTACAAGCTGGAACTATTTTAGTTACATAAAGCTAACTATAAAAGAAAACTATTTCTACATCAGTTGCAATTACTATTGGAGAGAAACTTTGCATATGATCATTCATCAGTCAGTTATCCTACAGTAAGTGTTCATGTTATTTTATTATTGGTAATATGTTCTCAGATACAGTACAAGCAGCTTAAACAAAGACCTTGCATTTTGAAGAATGCTTCAGTTGGAGTGCCTGCAGTTTTGTAAAGCACAAACAAAAGTGTTGTAAGTATAATTGCACTGATTTTCCAAAATATTAAGAACACCAGTTAAATGAATAGATTTTCTCAATAGCAAACAGTGCCCTTAGACTTCAATAGCAATATTTTTTAAAGTGTTTTAGAAGGTTTCTCTGCAGTGTGCCAAGTCTTTGCTACATATACTTTACATCACATACATTTGCTTGCTTTGTAAACTACAATGTTAATTTGCTAATTACCACTGTTGACAGGATAGATATACGGTATACACGACAAAAAAAAAATCACGGAGCCAAGCTTTCATTTTATTCAACGAAGGAATTGTGCTTTCTCTCTCATTTGTTTCGTTAAAAACTTTAAAATAATGAACAGCAGCGAAGATAAATGCTAATTTAGTATGCTAATAATTAACAAAGCTCAGTTTACTCAATTTGTAGGCTGAATTAAGTTCTCAAAACAAAGATATTAAACATTATTTGGATATTTTAGCATTGGATACCAAAGTAAGAATATCACTTTGCTGCACCACAAAGACTGTACTTCCAAAGGATATAAACTGGTTTTGAACTACAGGCAAAAAGCCTATGTCTATATCATAGTGTAAGCTCCCCGATTTTGTGCTTCCTTCTAATGGTGCCTGAATAAAGAAAATGATATAGCATTTGTTAAATGAAAAGACACATTTTCATTATGTCTCTTTAAGTACACATATATATCAAAATATGTTAGGCACTCAAGCATAAAACCACACTCTTCTTTTACGGAAGGAATGGGAAATATTTTGCAGGCTGGGTCAAAGACACTGATTTAAATATCATTTTTTTAGATCTTTATTTTATTATAAATATCTTTCAGATTGGCTTTGAATTCAACTGCAGATTACTATGCACCACAAACAAAATGTAATGTATAATTTTTTGTTCCCTTGTTCAACAGTATCAGCTATACTTGAATTTGCCAGACACACTCCAAAGCAGTGCACATATTCCATGGTTACCAACAGTTGTGTGGAAGTAACAGAAAATGTATTATTATGCTTTCGAAAACTCCTTTGCTTTTTCATTCATGTTTTTATTATTATTTCCACTGAAAATAGAGAAAATATTTCGTCATAATAATTTTCCCCATCTATGTTTGTTGTACTCTCAGTAAGCTTCCCTGACAGTTAATGTATGACTAATAAACTAATTATCTTTAACAATACAGAGTGTAAATAATGTGTGCCGTTTTTAAAAGCAATCCACAGCTGGGCAGATGTTTTCCTCTCAAATCCAATTTCATCTCTGTCAAATTAAATTCACAATTAGATTAATTTGTGTGGAAGGAAAGCTTAATGTATTTTCTGCAGGGTATAAAACGCAGGTGTAGAGTCTAATAATCCCTGGTGGCCATTGTGTGAAGTGAAATCAAGCGTGTAGTATATTTAACTACTTTATTATTTTAATGACTGAGGTCAGGTGTTCCTAAAAGCTGTGACATACTGTATCAGCAAAGATTTTCGCTTATTCAGTCTTCCCCACTACAGGCAGCAATATTCAACCAAGGTAAGGTGTGGCTCACAGTGCGTTCTGGTTCCTTCGCAGGTCGTCACAACAGTACCGTCTTGCTATAGTTACTACCACTGTTGACAGGATAGATATACGGTATACACGACAAAAAAAAAATCACGGAGCCAAGCTTTCATTTTATTCAACGAAGGAATTGTGCTTTC